GGTCAGTTAGGTTTATGGGAATGGTGAGAACAGCATAATTGAGAGTTGTTAAAAAAAAAGAACAAGAGGCTTTCACAATGTATTGAATCTGGAAACAAATGAGCAAGGGCTGTGGATATTTAGGGGGTGTTACTGGGAGAAATGAGTGAGCTATGTGGAAGAGCTTGTTTAAATGGGTGACTTCAGGCAGTATTTGGATGTGGGTGTCATGAGTTCTACAAGTAGTTGGGGCTAGAGATATAAATTAAGAGCCATTTCCAGAGAGATCACTAAGCTGATGAAAGAGGGTGGATGGAGGGAGACAAGAAGGGTGTGAGTACTACATCTGGTTTGGGGGTACAGTATATAAGCGGGGGATGAAGGTAGGGGAGCTCTCCACAAGGGAAAATGTGTCTGTGATCTTAGATACTATAAAAGGAAAAAGTATGAGTATTATAAAAATGCCTTTGTATTTCACCAAGATGGATACTAGTTTTGTGCTGTTTCCAGTGATCTTGGGTATGGAGGCAGTGCAGAGGGCCAGGAAAAATTAGGTGATGATGAAAGGGAAAGACAGCACATACATTTCAATTGCTTGGAAGTGAAAGAAATGAGGTTATAGCTTAATATTTAGCAGAAGTAATAAATGAAAGCTATTGAGGTTAGAAGAGATCTGACCCTCCAAGAGGGCAGAAAAAAGGAACTGGGAACCAGGAAGAGGCAGAAGGTCTAGAGAGATTTCGGTGTGAATAAACCTTGGAGACCCTTGCATAGCTACATCTGATTCACTGGAACCGGCCTAGTGGGAAGTGTTATTGGCCCCTAATGAAGAGGCTGGGAGGCCTTTTACTCATGAGATCATCTTCTTTCCCAGAGGAAGGTAGGCACTTCCTTCCAGGCAAGTTGGAGCTGTGGTCTTTTGCTCCCAGATATACTGACTTTGTTGGCAGGTATGCAAATGAATTTAGCGATCTCTCTGGTCAAATAGAACAAATATCTATAGACTTAGAAATAGTTTTACTCTGACTCGCCATTGAACAATTTTGTTTTTTTTCTGCCTGTAGAGAAACATTGTCTAAGGTAGTATCAACCATGAGGCAGCATGTTGATGTCTGATACATTATTTTTATTATAAACATAGAACAATTTTTATATATAATTCAGACATAGTCTTAGCCAGGCAAAATTAAATAACAGCAGAGCGTGGATAAGGGAAAGTATGCACAGTCCGTGTCAGGGTTAGAAAACCCCGAAAGAGGTACCTGAGTATAGAGAACTCTGAGCCAATCCTTTTTGAAAAAGTCTCTTAGGCCTAACATGAGATCAGGTAGGCAATATAGAATAAAACCTTTCTCTTAGCCCCAAATGACATTCCATCTGTGTAGAAGACTGGGTGAGAAGTACATTTGCCTGTCTTGCTCCTGTCCTTCCTTTTTATTATAAGATACATTTATAGACCCCATAGGAGAAAATAAATTTCAAAGGCTGTTAAAAAAGGCTAGGCTCAAGTTATAAACCTCCTCCTCACAGCCCTGTTCCCCCAAGGGGCATCAGCACCAGTGCGGGTTTCTAGTTGTAAACAATGCCACCAGCATGAGTGATACTGTCCCTGTAGGGTGCTCCCACTTCTCAAGGACCAAATACACCTTAGCAGAGTCCAAGGTTTCCTGAGCAAGTGAGTGGAGGCAGACAGAATACGCACAGGTGCAGACATGGAATAGAGTGGGTGTTGATGACTGGTCTGAGGTGCCTAGAAACTGAGTTAAATCTAGTTCTAGTTATGAATGAAGAAAACCTCTTCTTATTTTCTATTTGGAGCTTCTGACAAAAAACCTTGAGAAGCTCCTGACCAAGGGACTTGAGGGATTTTGGTGGCTTCTTTCACCTAAGGCAATTAGATTGGCCTACATAGCTAAGCTAAGTAAAAATAATCCTTTTCACATAAATAAACAGTTATAAAAATTAAAATAGTGGAATGTCTCAGAGAAAAGGAGAAAAACCCTAATACCCCAAACTATGTATTCTTTAACAGTAATTTAAATAATTTCTGAAGGGCAGGTCTCTGATTCCTTTCCCAAGTTCCTAGCAGATTGTGTTTATCAGAAGCTGGTTCCTTCCTAGAGCTATAACCCCTCCCTCTCTCAGCACTTCCTTGAATAAAGCCCATAAAGATAATAAAACATATCTGTGCTTTTGCATTTTCCATCAGGAATTGCCTTGGAGTTTGGCAAGTGGTTTTCCTAGTTGCTTCTAGTGGATTCCCGGAAGACAGGCTTGCCAGAAGGATTATGTTGCATTCTAGCTAAACAGCAAGGTGCTTAGACCCTGATCCTGCAGGTAGAAACCCTGACAGTGGACAAAGGTGTGGAATTTCACTATTGTTACATATTTGGTTTTCTTACATTTGGTGAGTTCACACAGAGCTTTGGAGAAATAGGAGAAGCCATTACTGCTTTTACTTTCTGTCTCTTGTTTTCTGGCACATGTACTTCATGGAAAAGGATGTAACCTCAAAGCTATGGCAAACCCAAATTACAGTGATAGGACAGGACTGGGATGGGAAGGAATGAGTGCTCTGAATAGGCAAGTTTAAAACAATTCCAGGTTTTGAAAAGGGGAAGGCAGGGGAAGTTCTGGCCACTCTTTACCAAAGTCAGCTTTGCCAAATTTCAATGACAAAAAGGTTGAGTTTCCTATAGACTCCCAAAGTACCTTTTCATCTATCAACACTGAGGGAGGGGCTGTGACCAGGCAGCCTGGAGGTGCCTATTAGGAAGGAAGAGTCGGGGAAACTTCTTTCTGTCCCCAACCTCCCCACCACTCCCAGAGGGGAATCTCCTAGTGATGAGGGTAAGAGACTTGGAATACATCAGCATGCAGTGAGCAGGACAGGTTGCATTACTTCATTTTTACTTCTGAATAAATTACGTCTGTGGTTGTTGGGGATGAGGAGGCTGACGTTGGTTGTCTGGGTTGCTGGCCTGTGAAGTTCAGGGAAGAGTAAGTAACTTCATTCATCTGAAAAGCACAAGTAATGATCAGTTAAGTCAGTGTCACAGGGCAGGGCTTCACCTTGCCTGGTGCGATTCAGCACCACAAGCTGTTACCATTTTGAAATTTTAGCTCTGGAGAAGGGCTTTGTTGTTATCTGTTCTCTGCCTGCTGACCTGATGAATGATCATTAGAAGAGATAAATGATGGTATATATGCAATGGAATATGATAATACAGCAATGAGAACAGGCAGACCACAAATACATACAACAATATGGATGAATCTCACAAAACAGTGTTGATGGAAAGAAGCTACATATAAGGATGTTGTATTTTTCCTTTATGTAGGAACAAAACCAAACAAAACTAATCTGGAGCATTAGAAGTCAGTATAGTGGTTATTCTTTGGAGGGAAGTGACTGGAAGAGTTTCTTTTTTTCTTTTCTTTTCTTTTCTTTTTTTTTGAGACGGAGTGTCTGTCTGTCACCCAGGCTGGAGTGCAATGGCATGATCTTGACTCATTGTACCCACACCTCCCAGGTTCAAGTGATTCTCCTGTCTCAGCCTTTCAGGTAATTGGGATTACAGGTGTCCATCACCATGCCTGACTAATTTTTTATATTTTTAGTAGAGATGAGGTTTCCCATGTTGGCCAGGCTTGTTTCAAACTCCTGACCTCAAGTGATCTGCCCACCTTGGCCTCCCAAAGTGTTAACCACTGTGCCTGGCTGGAAGGGTTTCTTTTTAAGGGGAGGTCATGTAGTATTTCATGATACGAGTGCTGCTTACCTCGGTGTGTTCAATTTGTGAAAGTTTCTACATTGTAAAAGTATAATTATGCTTTAGCATTTTTCAGTATGTGTGTTTGCTCTACTGTAAAGGTAAAATGGAAAATTCTATAAAACTATTATAAACAGGAACTCATCTATTAAAATGGAAATTATCCTTTTGACAGTAAGAGCAGGATCAGACTGCAGGTAGGAGGTGAGAATGATTAAGTGCTTTCCTTTTTTTTTTTTTTTTTTTTTTTTTTTGGAGACGGAGTTTCGCTCTTGTTACCCAGGCTGGAGTGCGATGGCGCAATCTCAGCTCACCGCAACCTCCGCCTCCTGGGTTCAGGCAATTCTCCTGCCTCAACCTCCCGAGTAGCTGGGATTACAGGCACGTGCCACCATGCCCAGCTAATTTTTTGTATCTTTAGTAGAGACGGGGTTCCACCATGTTGATCAGGATGGTCTTGATCTCTTGACCTCGTGATCCACCTGCCTCGGCCTCCCAAAGTGCTGGGATTACAGGCGTGAGCCACCGTGCCCGGCCTAGTGCCTTCCTTTTTTAGGCCAATGTGCTTGGTGCTCTGTGTAGGTTATCTTGTTTAATACCTTCGAATTCTCTTTGAAGTAAGCAGAATGCCCATTTTACAGATGACAAAGCTGAGGATCAGAGATTAGGTTACTTGACCAGGGTCACAGAGCTACTAAGAGTCGCATCCAGCCGGGCGCAGTGGCTCAAGCCTGTAATCCCAGCACTTTGGGAGGCTGAGGCGGGTGGATCACGAGGTCAAGAGATCGAGACCATCCTGGTCAACATGGTGAAACCCTGTCTCTACTAAAGATACAAAAAATTAGCTGGGCATGGTGGCGCGTGCCTGTAATCCCAGCTACTCGGGAGGTTGAGGCAGGAGAATTGCCTGAACCCAGGAGGCGGAGGTTGCGGTGAGCCGAGATCGCGCCATAGCACTCCAGCCTGGGTAACAAGAGTGAAACTCCGTCTCAATTAAAAAAAAAAAAAAAAAAAAAAAAAAGAGTCGCATCCAGTATTCAGACGCAGGATGGGGATAATTACAAAATGCACATTCTTGCTGCGAATGGGAGTGATTGCAAATACGTCTTTGTTGCTGCACTGAGGAACATTAACCCAAACTTGATGTTACATTGTGTTTTCAGGAATAACCAATTCTATACAGAGTCATTTCCATGAGAAAATAAGCAGGAAAATTGGCTGTGCTTACCTTGTTAGGAGAGTTGTCAGAGTGGTCCTGAGCTGGAGAAGCAAAAGAATTATTATTAATCCAAGGAAATGCAAAGCTGACTTAAGGTGATCCTAGCTGAAGCAGGTGGCAGTTGGAGGGTAGGGAGGTAGCCCATGATCAGTTAAGGAATTTACTTCCCTCAGAGTGTGTGGTCCAGACCCAGCACATTAGTACCAGAGGAGGGGGCAGAGGCAGAGCCACAGGAGGCCACAATCCACTTCTGAAGAGTTCTACCAGTTTACAAGGCCTTGATTTTGCCCAGATGTGTTTCTCAGCAACATGCTCCAATGGCAAGGAGGGGCATTGAGGCTTGCAGCACCCACAGCACCCACAAGACAAGGAAAGTCTCACCAAGGGAGAGTGCCCACATCCGTAATAGAGGCAGGAGGCGGAAGGAGTAAGGCTGAGAAAATGGCTCCTGGAAACATGGGTTCTTCCTTAGGCCTGCCTGGCCTAGGCAGAGTGAGCTTCTCTCCTCAGATGTGTCTCAGGGGACTCTTGTGGCTAGAAAGGGTGTGAAGACCTATGCCACCTTAGGGGTGGGAAATAGACATCCTTTCATGAAAATTCAGAAGGGAGGGAGTGGTTTGGGAATCCAGGATTCCCTGCCAGGGGAGGTCATGTGGTGGAACATACCAGTTCTCATTGGGTAAGTGGCTTTACTTACTGTGGTTGGAGTCTGAGAGTTTGTGCTCTGTGAGATCACGCTGGTCGCTTGCCCTAAATAAATATCAGACACTGTGACTGCTATTCCCAAGCACAGGATCTTTGTTCCCTGAGTTAGGAAGGGCACTGTGAGCAGGTCATTCCTTGGGGTCCTTGATGTTTATACTGCCTTTCTTCTGAGGGCCTCATTTTTCATCTAACTGCCATCCCTTCTAGTGTTTTCTCTTTTCCTGTTTGCTAGATGTTCACATTTCATTCCATTCTTTATCAGCTGCTTTTCTGTCTACTTGTACCCTTAAGACCTTTCCCATTTTGTTTCCTGGGGTCCTTTTTTCCCCCCTATTTATTGTTCAAGAGGACTGTGGTTGTTTTTGCTTTCTCTTAAGTTCCCTTCCTACGCTATCTCTCCCTCCTCTTGCTACTGTGCACGTGACTTGCTTTCTTCTGCTGCTGCTTTTATTTTTTCATTTGTATTTCTTCTTAGACCTTGGTTTCCGTGACTGGGGACAGACGAACATAATTGAGTATCTTCCTCAATTAGATTAGATGGGGATTGGAATAGCCATGTCCAAGAGACAATGGGAGACAGGGAACATGATGACCAGGGAAAAGGAGACCTGCAGGAATTAGTGCCGAGAAGCAGGAGTTTAGTGGGAGGAGGAGATCCAGGTCCAGAGACAGGCAAAGAAGTTCTTTTCCTCTCCCAAGCATGGCAGTCAGCCTTGGAGGAAACAGAACAAGAGGAAAGGCCATCATACCTGCCAGTCTTCCTGGAATGCAGAAAATACACTACCAGGGCTGCTATCAGAGCCATCCCGGCTAGTACTCCAATCACAATGCCAGCAATGGCCCCCCCTGAGAGACCAGAACTTTCCGTATCTGTCATGGAAAGAAAAGAGGAGAAGAAATGAAGGTGAAATTATTTTACATTGGGGGTTGGAAACAATTCTCAGAATGAAGTCGTTTCTAATTTTTCCTTCAAGGAATACAGTTCTGTTGTAGGAGGATTGCTGGAAGATGATTAGCTAATTATATCCTTGCAATTTTTTTGTTTTTCTGTCAACCGTGTTTCTAGGTTGATGATCAGTCTTCTGTCAGTTCCATTCTGGCCTTTCTGTGCTCAGACATTTTTGAGGATTTTGAAATGTGAGAAAGGCTGATTGCTATTTTGTATGTGACTAGAACTTTCTACCTTTTTTTGTGGTTGCATCTTTTTCTCAGTGTCTCAGTTGTGGCAGTCAGTGCATCCTGAATTCAGCACCTCTTTTGCATAGTCACCTTGCTTCCCACAGGCTCCCAGCAAGGGTATGAAAGCAAGCCCAGTTCTGTGTGACTGTTTTACTCTGAAGTGTGAATGGCTGGAGGACTCCCTGTCAACCTTGCAGAAACTCTTAGAACTGCACTGCAATCTAAAACTTCCTTTGTCTCTTTCTCTTCCACAGGAATCGTGATCTGAGGGCTCTCTCAGGTTCCTCTCACTCTCGCCTCACTTCCCTAATAGGCATTTCCCCCAGTAAATTATCTCGTATGTTTAATCCCATCTTTGCTGTATCTCAGTGGATGGAAATAACGTACCAGGCTTGAGACTTTGTTTTTTTTTTTTTTTTTTTTTTTTGAGACGGAGTTTCGCCCTTGTTACCCAGGCTGGAGTGCAATGGCGCGATCTCGGCTCACCGCAACCTCCGCCTCCTGGGTTCAGGCAATTCTCCTGCCTCAGCCTCCTGAGTAGCTGGGATTACAGGCACGCGCCACCATGACCAGCTAATTTTTTGCACTTTTAGTAGAGACGGGGTTTCACCATGTTGACCAGGATGGTCTCGATCTCTCGACCTCGTGATCCACCCACCTCGGCCTCCCAAAGTGCTGGGATTACAGGCTTGAGCCACCGCGCCCGGCGCGAGACTTTGCTTTAACTCCCCTTTCCCATATTTAATCATAATAATGTACTGGTGGGTTTCTTGTATAATGCGTCTCCCCCATATGTATATATTATTATTTATGTATTTATTATATATTATTTATGTATAATAAATATATGAATAATATATATAATAAAAATATAAAAATTTATATAATAAATATATAAATAATATATTTTGCATCTATTTCTTCTTCTTTTTTTTTTTGAGACAGGTTCTCACTTTATCACCAAGGCTGGAGTGCAATGGCACAATCATGGCTCATTGTAGTCTCTTGGGATCAAGTGATCCTCCTACCTCAGTCTCCTCAGTAGCTGAGACTACAGGCACATGCCACCACACCTGGCTAATTTTTATTTTTTGAGATAGAGTTTCACTCTTGTTGCCCAGGCTGGAGTGCAATGGCACGATCTCGGCTCACCACAACCTCTGCCTCCCAGGTTTAAGTGATTCTCCTGCCTCAGCCTCCTAAGTAGCTGGGATTACAGGCATGCGCCACCACGCGTGGCTAATTTTGTATTTTTAGTAGAGATGAGGTTTCTCCATGTTGGTTGGGCTTTTCTCCAACTCCTGACCTTAGGTGATCCATCTGCCTCGGCCTCCCAAAGTGCTGGAATTACAGGCATGAGCGACGGCGCCCAGCCATCTGGTTAATTTTAAAAAATAATTTTTGCAGAGATAGGGTTCCACTATATTGCCCAGGCTGGTCTTGGACTCCTGGGCTCAAGAGATCCTCCAGCCTCGGCCTCCCAAGTGTTGGGATTACAGGTGTGAGCCACTGTATCCAGCCTATTTCTTCTTTATATCTGTTGTAACCATTTGGGGCTTAGCCCTCACCAGTCAACTCAGGCTGGTGATTAATGCTATGTTAGCTACTTTTGTGGGGTATTTCCTGTGTGCCAGGCCCTGTACTGCTAAATGCTTTACATGTATCTCATTTGATCCATAAAATAGTGCTGTCAGGTAGACATTATTTCCATTTTAAACATGAAAAAATGGAAGCTGAGAGTGGTAAAAAAGCTTACCTAAAGTCAGATGGCTAGTGTGAGGTGGATCTGAGATTTGACTCTAGGACTACATGATCTGAAGGCAAATGATAATAGTAGTGGTGATAGCAGCTAACATTTATGAAACATTCCCTCTGTGTGTGGTTGTGTGGTATTTTGCTGAAGGTTTATTATTACAATTAAATTTTTAAAACAATACTATGGAGCCAGGTGTGGTGGCTCACACCTGTAATCCCAGCACTTTGGGAGACTGAGATGAGAGGATTGCTTGATCCTAGGAGTTGGAGTCTAGCCTGGATAATATGGTGAGATTATATCTCTCCGAAAGCAAAAATAAAAATAAATTAGCCAGGTGTGGTAGCATGTAATACTTAGGTGGCTAAGGTGGGAGAATTGCTTGAGCCTAGGAGGTTGAGGCTGCAGTGAGCTGTGTTTGCACCACTGCACTCCAGTTTGGGTGACAGAGTGAGACCCTGACTCAAAAACAAAGCAAAAATCCAAAACCCCCCAATACTATGAAGCAGGCATTCTTAGTGCAATTATTGGTTGAGGAATCCGAGGCTCAGAGTAGTTAAGAATCTTGTGCAAGAAAGAAATTTATAACTGTAGGCCAGGAACAGTGGCACATGATTGTAATCCCAGCACTTTGGAAGGCCAAGGCAGATGCATCACTTGAGCTCAGGAATTTCAGACCAGCTAGGCAAGATGATGAAACCCTGTCTCTACAAAAAATTTACAAAAATTAGCTGGAGGTGGTGGCAGGTGTCTGTGGTTTCAGCTGGTACCCAGGAGGCTGAGGCAGGAGGATAGCTTGAACCTGGCAGGTTAAGCCTGTGGTAAGCCATGATCAGCCTTGGTGACAGAGTAAGAGCCTGTCTCAAACAACAAAAAAAGTTGTTCTTTAAAAAAGACCACTATAACTGACAAACTTTAACTAGACTAAGAAAGAAAGAAGATTCAAATTACTAAAATCAGAAATGAAAGTGAAAATATTATTACTAATTCTATAGAAATAATAAGGATTATAAGAGTACTATGAGTAATTGTATGCCAGCAAATTGGATAACCTGGATGAAATGAACAAATTCCCAGAAACACAGAACCTGCCATGATAGAATCATGAATAGATAGAAAATCTGAATAGACCTATAACCAGTAATGAAAATGAATCGGTAAAAGCATTTGACAAAATTCAACATTCTTGGGCCGGGTGCGGTGGCTAATGCCTGTAATCCCAGCACTTTGGGAGGCCGAGGCGGGTGGATCATAAGGTCCGGAGATCAAGACAATGTTGGCTAATACGGAGAAACTCCGTCTCTACTAAAAATACAAAAAAATTAACGCGTGCTGGTGGGCGCCTGTAATCCCAGCTACTCAGGAGGCTGAGGCAGGAGAACTGCTTGAACCCGGGAGGCAGAGGTTGCAATGAGCCAAGATTATGCCACTGTACTGCAGCCTGGGTGATAGAGTAAA